TTGGTCTCCCCTCCTTCCCCCCCCCAACAGAATTTTTCCCCGGTGTTTTTTTTGGGGGGGGGTGGGGTTCGGTATTTTTGGTTAAACACCCTCCTTGTGAGTCAGAGGTAGTCCTCTCTACCCTTCATCCAAACACTTACCCTCATGGCACTCTGTGGGTCTTCCGCATGTTGAAAGGCAAGCCAGACTACATATAAATGTAAAATAATCTGTGATACTCCTTTGCTCAGCCCCTTTGCCTGTCAGAAGTAGATGAAAAAGGAGGAAGAGTAGTCCTCTTGAACTATTGACTGGTAAATGAAGTCTCATTTTGCTTATCCTTGTAGAACTGTCCTGTTGGACAACTTTGTTGATTTGGAACAACCTACTCAATCATCAACAGTGGTCCCCATTTTATTGTGCCTCAGAGTCAGTTGATGCATCATGCACATTTCTGCTAGCTTCAGAATGTATCCTCTTCAGGTCTGAATATCTTCCCAGATTCAATAGCCTCAGCAAAGGTCTGATTTTTCCCAGTATTTATCTAGACATTTTTCCTATCCAGTATTCTAAAGGGTGGCTTTTGCTTAGTCTTCACCCACCTTCATAGAGATGCACTTAAAACCCTCAATGGGGAACTGACCTAAGATACTTGGACTTGTTGCCTGCAAATTTTGATGACATCCAACTTATACATAAGTGTGTTAGAAATTGCCTCCTCTTGGGATATGTTTGGTTCTGTTAATCGCCAACAGTGGGGATATATTAAAGGAAATGTGTGGGGGGGATTGGCTATTAATCAGTAATTAGAACTTCAATTTCAGTATATTTCCTCCACAAATTCACCCTTGGTGTTCATTGATCCTCCCTCTTCACAGCTTCTGTTTCCCAAGCAAAGAGTGATGTCCTTTATATACTCCTTTAGAGCTTTTATTTGGTACTGTGACATGAAGCCCCCTCATAACCTAACTCTAACCCCAGTCAACTGGTAAGAACCTCAGTTTTTGTCTTTGCAGTATGTATTAAACCATGTATTTCAACACTTATCCCCCCCCTTTTCCCCACACACATACTCAAACCAAAATGGTTCACAGAGGAAGGGAGAATAGAAATTGGTCGAGTAACAGATGTGTCACCCACCTGGTGTCTCTTCACAATTCAGTGCAGTGGTAATTAATGATTGACTATTCGAGCTCATTCTCCTCCACTAGCAGCTAGCTTCAGAAAACCCCAGTTTCTGACACTGAAGGGTTAAAATTCCAAATGCAGAATCTAAAGATCTTTGGTTAACAGTGGAGAGGAAAGAGCGGTATTCTGATTCCTTCGTAGTGGGGAGGAGCCCTCTGCCCCCCCAGCAAAATGTGACTGGTACCATTGTCAGGGGACGGAATGATGTCCGGCTCAGAAATCTCTTCAGCACAAAAAAGTCCCTTTTCACAAGAAAGAGGCTTGACCTGTTAGGGTAAGACGCTCTAACCTTTGGGCTCCGATCTCTTAGAGGTCAAGTTCATGTCTGGATGATGTTGCTGAAAGTAACAGTGCCTAAAGTTGAGGGCCATTATTAACGTTTAAAATGTAAAGGTCTTCCAGATTGGCCCCATCTGGACTATTGCTGTGATTTGTATAAGTAAATCATCGTTTTCCAGACAATAAAAAGTTATGTCTTGTAGTCATTTCCTACCAGTTGAGAGAGACTGTTTCCATATCTAATATATAAAGGAGAATGTTTGTAAGTTTGTGCGCTAATAACGTGGACACTATAAAAGCTACCGCAACCAAACTTTGCATGGGAGAACCTTTCATCCAGGAGAAGATTTTAAGGTACTTTTGGACCCGATCAGGCCCGAGCTCAAGCTGTAAAAATCAAAAAGTAACCCGCCATGCTGCACTGCAGGGGCCTCCTTGCCCACCCTCGGTCCTGTGCCCACCGCCTGCAGCCCCCAGTGCCATCCAGGACTCATCCCCTCCTACCAGCGAGGTTACATAAGCAACCCTCTTTCCTCCCCGATCCCCCCACACACAACAGCTTGGGTACCTGCCCTGCCCCCTGCGGCACCCTGCAGCCCCGGGTGCCCCTTCCACGTGTAACCTCTCCTCCACCCGGGGTCACTCGGGGATGACGCAGACCTATATTTTAATCCCTATAGAAATCAGTGCAACTTTTCTACCATTCAAAAAAAAAAGATAATGGACTACAGTTTTTCTACATTTTGTTCCTCCGGTTTCCTGAGCAATGCCGGTAACTCCAGCTAGTAGTTAAATATCAGTCATTTTAAATTCACTGGATAGGAGGAGCAGATGCAGAGACATTGCTGAAAAAGTCTCTTATTTTTGTAAATGGATGGGCCTTGTGTCAGTACCATAGTTCCTCTAAAAGAACTTTGCAACACCCTCCTCCTTCCCCCTGGCAATTCCTTTTTGAGTCGGGACCCCCAGTTTGGGAAACGCTGTATCAGATGTGGGTACGATACCCACACAGGGCTTTACAAACAATCACTGATACTGGATTGCAAATTGGGTTCTGGGGTAATCAAGTAGTGTTACCGTTGGGTGAGTAAAGGGCCACAGATCTGTACTTGGTATTCCTGGGACTGCACTAACTAAGCATAGTTTAGGGGTGCGCAAGGGAGTGGGTGAAGACAAATACTGTGCCTGGTGGCGTGGCCTCTTCCCAAGGAGGCCTGTGACAATGGCGCCACAATGGAGTGACCAGTGGCAGAGTAAAGAATGGTGCGGTGGTGTCAGCAGGCAGCATTGTGGAGTAACAGCACAGCAGTGGCAGCTGAGGCATGGGCTGACACCTCCCCACTGACACGCAAGAGGAACTTGTGCGAATGCATCTCTGAACTCCAGGTCTTTGCTGATCAAGGAACCTTTGTCTGCTGGTTTTTTCAGCTCTTTTAAACAATGGTGGTACCTTTTCTAGGTGTTGCCAGATTGCTTTGGTAGCCTGTAGAAGGGGCTCGTTTATGGGCAGAACCTCTTACATAGAAGGTGATATTTGCAGAATGTCCAAAAGCTTACAGTGAGATACTGCAGCTCCATGGAAAGAGAGCTAAGAGAGTCCGCAACCCATTTCACTAGATCCAGGAACTACCTGAGATCGGCAGCCAGGGAAGGTAGAAAAGGCATCACAGCTTCACTTGGGGAAGATGAG